CCATTAATTTCCTTGCACTGACTTTGTAGGAGCTTCAATCTGTACGTGGCCAACTTGCATCTGAGCAGTCAAGATGTTTCAAACTTGAGGTATGTTCTTATCACTTGTTTCTCGGTTGATCTAGATGTTTCCTTTGCCAAACAAGATTTCTCGCACTTTCAGTTCAAATTTTTGTTGACCTTGTAATAGTTTCTGGGATGATCTGTGTGAAAAAATTGAGGTTCAGGAGGAAGGCGTTTAACCTTATGACTATTCATTTAAGCTGACCTTAGTGAGCAGCCTGATTGTGATACGATCAGGCTGCCTCGAAACATTGGTCATAATCTGGGTTTTCTGCTAATTACTCTTTGAACCTGCAGGTTGAACTTGCAGAACTTCGACAGAAGCTGCAAACAATGGAGGCATTGCAGAAAGAACTTGAACTCCTCCAGCGACAAAAGGCTGCGTCCGAACAAGCAGCTTTGAATGCTAAAAGGCAGAGCTCAGGCGGCGTCTGGGGCTGGCTTGCTGGAACGCCTGGTAATGAAAAAGCGGACGATGCCTAAATAGCTGTCAAGGCCAAATGAATAGAGAAGGGGTTGGGGGGGGGGGGTGTTACATGATAGATTTGGTTCTCATTGAATTTTTTTTTAACTCATTTTGATATATTTTTGTTATACTCAACCAAGTTCTTTCCTGTGATAGAAATAAGATATGAGGTTCTTACTGGCGAGAGAGGGAGAGGACCCCACTTGGGGTTTTTGCATGAATACATGTCTGCAATTTCAGTTATGTAGTTTCATGTCTGTGAGTGCTATATAATTCTTTTGGGTCACCAATTTTTGTTGGAGTTTGTATTCAAAGTGAATATATATATTAAGTGAAGTGTAGATCTCATTGTTTATACTTTGTTGCCTTAATGGAATTACTTGATTGACCTCTCAAATTTATCATTCCTTGAGTTATTTGTGTGCTCAATGTAATTATTCTATTTTAATGGAGTTATGTTTTTCATTTCATAATGTTGGAAGTAGGGGCGGGCATCAATCCGGCTGAACTGCTTCGTGTAGATTAAAAATAAAAAATTGTTGAATTTTTTTATTTTGATTCTCAAGGACCAGCTCTTTGTTATTTAATTCTTCAAACGCTCATGGAATGGAGGTCAAGGGCGCACATAATTTGTTGGCCGCACATTGTATGTACCAAATCTCAATCGCCGTGCAAAAAGGATGTAGTTCAAATAATTTCAGTTTTCCTTTTTCGCCCTCAGTGAAAGTGTTGCTATTTTCAGCTGTTACTTTACTCATCCACTCATGTTCCTACAAAACTTTTTACCATCGTTTTCGGCTAAATTACATGTAAAGGTCACAAGCCTTGAACGCATTTTAAAAGATATATTGTTGGTTTCTTGATTTCTGGGGCTCAATGTTGGTTATGTATATTAAAAGCAACTTCTCTTTTTTCCTTTGTCTGAAGTATTTCGAAGGTATATTCTGAATCTGAATGATAATTTTGTGATGGGTGAGAAAAATATGAACGTAAAAAAAGGAGCTTAAAGCAATGAAGAAAAAAGTAAAAAAACTGAAAAAGAAAAAGAAAACTGAAAATTGGGTGCACCATTATTGACGTGGCAGGGTCCTAATGGCCTTACGTTCCAATAGAGAAATTATAGAGTGGTACGGTATCACTACGTCAGCTGGTGATACTCCCACTCAGAATTTACCACATGTCTTTATTAAAAGAAACTTTTAACTATTTTTCCAGTAGGATATTTGGTTCCAATTTTACCCTTTAGGAAAAAAAAATAATAAGAAGAACTTAGCGACCAATGTTGGCACTCGGCAGTAGGGGTGACATTTTTGACCGAAAAACAGCAAAAACCAACCGATATTATACCGCATTGGAACCGCAATAGCTGAAAACTGACCGAAAATTACGGTTTTAGAAACCGAACTGCAATTGCGGTTGCGGTATGTGATTTTAGCAACTCGCGGTTACCGCAAACAGCAATTTTTTATTTTAAATAAAAAAAATTGCATTTTAGTAGTTAGTGTTCACCCGTTTTGTGTTTATTCCTGAGATAGAAGGGCAAAGTTCCCTACTGCCTTGGAAACCATTGATTGCTCAACAAGTTAGCTTTCTTTGGTGTATGAGCGTGCCACTACTAGCAATAAAGATTCTAGTAGACTTCTTTAAAACCGATAACTTGCGCTCCAAGTTACTGATTTCTAAACAAGTAATTATGAATTTGGGTGAGGAATATCTCCCAAGTAAGTTCTTTTTCTTGCCTCAGACTGGTGAAGACTTCACAATTTATCTCAGTATAAAATTGATAATTCTGGCCAGAGTAATGGATAATAAAGTGGACTGTTTTAGACAGAACTGCTCTTTACAGAGCTACAAAGGAAGAAATCAACTCTAGAAAGGCAAAAAGAAAGTTGGAACTTCATTCCTGTCTGGATAGAAGCTTCTGATTCGGGCTGGACTGGGTATGTCTGGGCTAGACTGGACTTTCAACAACTTCAACTGCTCAGCTTCAGCTGTAGATCGATACCAAAGTTCAATTTTGGCAGAGCTTTAATATACTCCAAGCTTTGGGAGGCTTTTGAGCTGCAGAACTGCAGCTTTTTCAGTTTGAAGGGACAGAAGTAGCTATTCTTAAGAACCTAATGAGCTGGAAACTGCACTGTGAATTTTGTTGAGGTTTTCATATTTGGGAAAACTCAAACTTTGCTTGTCTTGACTTTTGCTGAACTAAATTTGTAACGAGAGAGATCTCGTTTCGAATGACTTATTTCTTTAAGTCTGAACTTTAGGAATTCTGATCTAAAACTGTTTTTTCTTGTGGTTCAAGTGAGCTTTTGGTTGATTTTTTTAGTTGTTTGTTTGATTGATGAAAATTGAGTGTCCTCGATTCTGTTCATCCTCTCTAGTATTTATAAGAAAATGTTTTGGAGTAGGGTTTCATTCTTCTAATAATGGGCGGCAAAAAATTCTCAAAAGATCTTTTCATTTTTAAATGCAAAGGAAGAAGAAAAGTTTTAATCAATTATGGCAGATAAGCTCTCAACAGTCAGTTCTCAAGATCACTTTCCTGTTTTTCCTGAAAGAGAACCTAACCCCTTTTTAATTTCCAACTGCCCCTTGTGAGAGCTCAAACCGTGATGGCTAGTTTGATTCTCAGTTTGAACAGCTCCCTGTCTTCCTGCTTATCTCTTTTTGAAAGTATGACCTGCTTATCTTTTGGGAGAATCAACCCTTTTTTTGGAGTAGAAGAAATATCTCTAAATATTTTATACATAAAAATAAGGGTTTGATCTTCTAATGGCAGAGATTTTTAGAGAGGTCTTCTCCTAGTTTGCATGCTTTTGATTAGCATATTTTATCAAATTAGTTGAAAATGTTGACTTTTCAATGTCAGAAAAAGAGATTTCACATGGGTCTGTTTTTATTTTTCTTCTTTCTTTAATCATGCTGGGCTTGCTCTGATTTTTCTGGAATCAAACCAAGGACTAGCTTGCTCTTTTCTTTTCAAGGCCCAAGTTTTTATTTTGCCACCTTTTGATAGATCCTAGGCTGAGTTCTTTTGGATTTTTGGGCTTTTGATTTCCTGTTTATTTTGCGAAGTCCGAGTTTGGGCCCGTAGTGTTTGGGTGGAGTGTATAATCTTGGCCCAATTCAAGGGAACGTTGGTGGCTGGTTTAAAAATTGCTATGGGCTTTGTGACCTTGGGCTGGGTGTGCCAAATTAAGCCCAAACAGTTAGATGTTGTGTTTTAATTTGGTTGAGTTTAATCTATTATTAATATGCTTTTATGTTGTTGCTTTTGTGTTGTGTTGTGTTATAGATGGAGTCTAGCCACTCTAACACACCTAATGCCTCTAATCCCCCAAACACAAACCGATACACCCGAAACACAACCTCTACTCCAACTCATAAAGAAAGGCTTCTTCTTATAATAAAATCCACTCACCACCACCTACACTTGAGTTCTCCTTTTGGTTTGTAACTTTAATTAACTTTGAATTGGATTTTTCTTTAGGTTGTGAATGCTTGAGAAGTTGAGGTTGTGAATTTATTTCTCTAGGTTGTGAATTTATATTTTTTGGTTAAAGTATACTTGAACTCAAAAAACTTCAAAAGAAGCATCAAACCTAGGCTTAAAAGTGTGGAAGATTGAATTTTGATGACACAAAAAGACCACACTTAAAGATCTAAAATTGTCTAATTTAGGACCAAAATATTCAAATCGGTTTAAACTGTTAATTAACGGTAACCGACTGATTTTTGTGGTTTCAAAAATCACCTTACTGCAATAGTCGGTCGGTTTGTGGTTCGAAGAAAAATTCGCGGTTATCGAACCGCAACCACCCCTACTCGGCAGTACCCCCTTTTCCTCTCTCTCTCTCTCTCTCTCGTTCCAAGAATCACTTTATTTTGTAGTTGTCTTTTATCTTCACATTCCAAAGGGTGCAAAAATTTACACTGCATACAAAAGAGTTTCTTGGGGATTTTTAGTTAAGTTTGTTCTTTTTGTATAGTTAAATTAGTGATTATTCCCATACATATTTCGGAACGAGTTTCAACACTAGGTCAACTTAGAAATTGCGTACATAGTTTTTGAGATCTTCTCTTGTTAAACCTATGTGAGACTGAGAGCAAAATTGGACAAAGTGAACTTGGAACTGGAACTGGAGGTTTTGAGGAAGACGAAGACAACCTAGATGAGGAAATTGAAGTTAGGGGGAGGAATTGAAACATAGAAGGAGCAGTGGAGGGGTACTACGATTGGGGGTCGTGGGAGGTTAACGCAGTCTTACTTTTTCTTTTTGCCCTTTGTATTTTTAATTAATTTTATTCTAAAGGATAATATTAGAAGCTAAAATCCAGTCGTACAAACAATTACATTTTCTTTTTTAAAATAAATGTGTGGCAAATTCTGAATGGAAGTTTTATCGGCTGACGTGGTAATACCGTAACAGCCTATAATTTATCGTTGCGCTAGTGTTGTATCGTATAATTGCCCGACCCATGAGAGTAGAGTGAGCATAGTGTTATTATTGGTATTCTCGCAACCCAGAAAAATCACAATTCTCCCATATTTTCTTACCATCCAAACACCTTCTCCTTTCCTCTATCTCCCTCTCTTTAGGGTTTATTTGCATCCCTCAAAATCCCACACTTTCTGGCACTTTCCTGGAAACTCTCGTACTTTCATATCCCCATCACGAGACGATAGAAAGGTATGCCTCTTCATTGGGACCCCCCAACTCTGTTTCTTTAGAGCTTCGGAGGATTTCGATTATAGGCGGTTCGAAGATCTCTGTGATGAACAACGATTTCGAATTGGACGGAAAATCAGGTGCCACTGTAGAGGTTGAGGAAGCTAGAGCTAGGGTTTCCGAAGGCGGTGCCGGTAGCTCAAAAGATGAAGCTAGGGTTTCAACAATGGAGTTCGATTCAGGAGCTCCGGAGAGCGAGGCTGGTGATTCCCGGGTTTCCAGAGGCGGAAGATCTGAGGAGGATAGGGCTAGGGTTAGGGTTAGTCCGGAGAGTGACGTTCGGAATGTAGATAAAGTGATGGAATCAAAGGGCTCTGGAATTCAGGTGGAAAAAGCGAGTGTCTTTGTATTCCATGATGATCAGGACGACGTATTTGATATTGGAAGGATCGAAATCGACGAGGATTATGAAAAATTTGAGAATGAAAATGATGAAGATGACCGTGCAGATGTGGAGAAGGGTAAGTCTTATGAGCACCGGTCTTTGTTATCTGAGTTTGATGAGTTTGTGGCTAATGAGAAGAGTGGAGTAGCTCTTGGAACGTCGAGGGCACTTAGCTATGGGTTCGAAGTGGGTGATTTGGTGTGGGGAAAGGTAAAATCGCATCCGTGGTGGCCGGGACACATATTTAACGAGGCATTTGCATCGTCTCAGGTGCGCCGGACACGAAGGGAAGGTCATGTGTTGGTGGCTTTCTTTGGTGATAGTAGCTATGGGTGGTTCGACCCAGCTGAGCTTATCCCATTTGATCCCCATTTTGCTGAAAAATCTCTGCAGACGAATCACAGGACCTTTGTGAAGGCTGTGGAAGAGGCTGTTGATGAGGCGAATCGTAGATGTGGAGTTGGTTTGGCTTGTAAATGTAGGAACCCCTATAATTTCCGGGCCACAAGTGTGCAAGGGTACTTTGTTGTTGATGTGCCGGATTATGAGCCGGGAGCAGTTTATTCTGAGAATCAGATTAAGAAGGTGAGGGATAGTTTTAAGCCGAGTGAGATCTTGTCTTTCTTAAAGCAGTTGGCCGTGTTACCACACGGTGATGATCAGAAGAGCCTTAACTTTAATAAGAATAAGGCTACTGCATTTGCGTTTCGTAAGGCTGTGTTTGAAGAGTATGATGAGACCTATGCT